TTTATCACCACAGAAAGTGATGAACATGTCATTATTCAAAGCTCCATTGTTTTTATACCTTCTGAGAGGCAGAAACTATACCAACTTTCAATATCCATTCAAGCAGATTACACATGAATGCATGGGGGTTCAAAGCACTTGAACACTACCCCCCCTCCCCCCCCCCGTTGTATCAGTATCTCTTAGAATCTGGATTTGGGGACTGCTTAGATTGGCTTGGAAAAGCAATTGGGAATCTCAAGATTTTTCTGGAAAGCGGGAAGAAGATTCCGTGGTAACCAAAGAACGTCAGTCTGGAATTGTTTGTTTTTTCATAACTCGTTCCCTAGTGTGGATGTACCCAAGTTTCTCAAAAACGGTTGTGTCCGTCAGCCAGGGGCCCCGTTCCCTGCTCACCTCTTCCTTCTGCTGTTTCTCTTTCTCGAAACAGTTCTCTTACTTAGAGAGCCTCCGCTTGCCCTCTTCTTTGAGGGCTGTCATTTGAAGAGGTTATTTTAGTTCACGGCGATGCCAGTTCAGGGCAGCTGGCTTGCAGTTCAGAATCCCTGCCGTGTACTGAAGGCCAAAACCATTAAATCAAATACACAAGAAAGTTTCGGTGCTGTCCTGACTTCTAGGATCTGCCTTCTTACATAATTGTCCTCTTCAGTGATTTCAAAACAAATGAGGGCAGAGAGAACCTGAAGAGACAAACAGGGCCCGGTGAGCAGACCTGGTTTGCAGCTATTTGCGAGTGGGTTTTAGCAGAGCCTACTCCCTATTGTTAAAAACAAGACAACAGGCCCCCAATCCAGCCGCTTATGCTAAGTCCCACGTCAACTAACCGAGGCTCGATTTAATTACTGTTTCAGCTCTCCCAGAAATAGAATCTTAAACCAGTCACTGCGGAATCCCCTGATCAGCATTAGTTAGGTAACCTGCCTGACAGACCCCAGCCATGCCCCAAAGGAAAGTGACCCTGCAATAAACGATTCCCTTTTTGTCTAGTATGATTTCCTTGTTCCACCCTCTCCTGCCTATAATGGCCTTTCATTTCGTACAACTCCTTGGAGCTCCTTCCTGTCTGCTAGATTGGATGCTGTCTGACTCATCAATTGTTGAATAAAGTCAAGAAGGTCTTTAGAATGTACTCAGTTGAGCTGTTTTTTGACACTATATGTGTGTTTTTTTAAATTTAAAATTAAAAAACAATTTTTAATGTTTATTTATTTTTGAGAGAGAGAAAGAGACAGAGAGAGAGAGTGTGTGCGAGGGAGGGGCAGAGAGAGAGGGAGACAGAGAATCCAAAGCAGGCTCCAGGCTCCAAGCTGTCAGCACAGAGACAGATGCGGGGCTCAAACCCATGAACTCTGAGATCATGACCTGAGCCAAAGTCGGACACTCAACCGACTGAGCCACCCAGGCGCCCTATGTGTGTTTTTTGGAACTCTATTTTGAACTGGTTAAAATCTCATACTGGTTCCCTTATTAATGAATTCAGTGGAATCTTTGATGTGTTTTCATTTTACATTTGTATGAGAGGCATGATTTTTACCTTGTAAGATAAAGGGGCACCTGGGTGGCTCAGTCTGTTAAGCGTCCGACTTCGGCTCAGCTCATGATCTCATGGTTCGTAGGTTCGAGCCTCGCGTCGGGCTCTGTGCTGACAGCCAGCTCAGAGCCTGGAGCCTGTTTTGGATTCTGTGTCTCCCTCTCTCTGACCCTCCCCTGCTCATGCTGTCTCTCTCTCTCTCAGAAATAAAAAATAAATAAAAAAAGATATATCTTTTAACATTAGGTACATAATATGTGTAGTACTTTTTTAGATGCTGATGAGGGTTGGGTTGGGGGAGGGGGGGCGAGAATTCTCTGTCCCTGCAATGGACTTTCTAGCTGGACTAGAGGCAGATTAACAGGAGAAAACCAAATTTAACGGTGCACCTACAAGGAACCCGCATAGACATGGAAATTCCAAAGACAGGCAGAATGAGGTATACATGTCATTCTGAACTAACAAGAGGAGGGCTGAGGCCTGGGACTTCATGGGGAAGGAATGTACTTCACCGGAAGATGAAAAAGAGTAAGTGTTTGGTAAACAACTGTTTGCTGGGCCATCCAGAAACAATGGGGCACAGAGGACTTCCATCTAAGAGGTCTTGCTAGGTCCTCTGTGTCTACCACACCTAGTTCATATCATACTGCAGTTATCTATGGAGATAACTCTCTTCCTGGAGCATGGCCTATAAATTATTTTTAGGCAGTTAAGAGGGGAGGTAAAAGCTTTCTTTGAATCTGCTGGGTTTGATTTTTTTTTTTTTAATTTTAAAATGTGTATTTATTTTTGAAAGACAGAGTCACAAACAGAGTCCAGGCAGGGGAGGGCAGAGAGAGAGGGAGACACAGAATCCGAAGCAGGTTCCAAGGCTCTGAGCTGTCAGCACAGAGCCCGACGCGGGGCTCGAACCCACAAACTGTGGGATCATGACCTGAACCAAAGTCGGACACTCAATGGACTGAGCCACCCAGGCGCCCCGGGTTTGATTGTTTTTTAATTCAAAATAATCTGCATGTCAAAGTGGCCCATCTTGAGGTGGCCTGCCTTTGGCTCCCTACACAAAGTGCTTTGTGTGTTTACTTAACAAACACAGAACACATTTTTGAATGCCACGTGCTGTTTTAAGTGCTTTATAAATGTTAACTAATTCAATCCTCATAACAGCCCTATATCACTTACATGTCCTTCAATCCTTATTAGCCCATCTTATCTAACTGAGGCTCACAATCCTGGTCAAGGTTGTATCATCACTAAGTACCAGGGCTGGGAGCTCAAGTGCAGACCTGTGCGAGGCTGAAACACACTGGCCTTCTCCTGGCATGAGGGCTCCCTTTAAGTGAGCCTGGGGGTGAGATGAGAAAGGGACCCCAACTTTGTTTTGTGGGAAACTGTGAGAAATAAGCCCACTTGTTATGGAAACCGGTCTGGATCACCACCCAGCAGAAGAGCCAAGCAGCACTCGGAGATCTTGGAAAGCAGGAGGTTTATTTTACACCGGTGGGCCCAGAGGAGATCATTCTCCAGATGTCTGAGTCTCGAGAATCAGCAGAGGGAACAATTTATATAGTCTGTTACTTCCGCATTCCTCATTAGTAATAATTTGGTGAGTGACACGCAGGTTGGGAAGAAGAACCCGGAAGGGGGAGTCTTTGATCATGGACAGGAATTTCCTTATCAGTCCTGTTGGCCATCTTATAACAGATTTTTTTCCCTATCACATTGACCCAATCAAAGGAGGGACGTGTAGACTCAAAGCACAGTGAAGCAAGGCTTTAATCAATGTTTCTGCAAGAGCAGGTGTCAGAGGGGCAGGCACACTCAGGGCAGTTACAGCAGGCATTTTTTCTCCTAGGGTGAAGTCCCTTCCCTGACTCCTCATTGGCTGAGTACTACAGAGCTTACAACCTTACCGGGAAGTCGCCTATGGCCATGTAAGACAAAAAGTACATTCCTTGAGGTGACGCAGAGACTTCAGTTCTTTGGCTCATGCTCATTGCAGAGCTCCAGAAGAATAAACCTGGGAAATGAAGAGGGGAAGAAGAACCAGAGAGCGAAGTGTCTAAGGGTTTGGGACTCCACTGTGTGTGTTGGGGGATTTCGTACATATTTCCAGTAGGTTTATTGTTAACTAGACAGCACAGCTTTTATTTGGTATTTCTGAAAATGCATCATTTCACTTACTTCTCACACCTTTCACTTACTTCTGTACCTTTTTAAAATGTTTATTTATGTGTGTGTGTGTGTGTGTGAGAGAGAGAGAGAGAGAAAGAGAGAGAGAGAGCAAGAGTGGGAGACAGTGGGAGAGGGCAGAGAGAGAGAGCGGGAGAGAGAATCTGAAGCAGGCTCCAAGCTGTCAGCACAGAGCCCGACGTGGGGCTCGAGCCCACAAAATATGAGATCGTGACTTGAGCAGAAGTCAGATACTTAACTGACTGAGTCATACAGGTGCCCTGGAACCTGCATCTTTAAGGAATCTGCATCTCCCCTCTTGATAGAGGGGAGGGGCTATGATACATGGATTCTGCAGAGAACCCCTAGCCATGGGCCTAAACTCTACCTGCATGATGTGGAGCATTGCTCTGACTGGCGTGATGACCATTGTGCTGTGTTTCTGATAGAAGTCAGCTTAAAACATTGCTCTACTTCTTCTGCCAAGGGCTCTCTTCCTCCTCAGAGTATAAATATATAACTTAGTTTATTATTATTATTAAAGTTTTTTTATTATTTATTTTTGAGAGAGAGAGAGAGAGCGAGCGAGCATGAGCAGGGGAGGGACAGAGAGAGAGGGAGACAAAGGATCTGAGGCAGCTCCAGGCTCTGAGCTGTCAGCACAGAGCCCGATGTGGGGCTCAAACTCACAGACCGCAAGATCATGACCTGAGCTGAAGTCAGAAGCTTAGCCAATGAGCTACTCAGGTGCCCCTATTATTATTTTTTTAAATTTATGGTCACCATGCCCATGGGGGAGTCAAAGTGAGAGTGGGAAGCAGCTTGATAACGGGGGTAGGGCACACTTGGAATCTGTTGGATTTGGGTTCAAATCCAAGGTCTGTCCTTTAATGGGGAATAAGATGAGAATCCATCTGAATTAACATTAAATCTCAGTGGGATTAAGTAAATGCTTCCATCTCTCTTCCAGCAGGCTGTGAACAAGATCTCAGCAAAGCCTTGGAGCTGGGCGAGAGAATCAAGCATCCAGAGGTCGGAAGAGGGGCAGGGGAAATTGTTTTCTAACTGGCTGAGAAGATGGGCTATTCGCAGGTGTGGCTGCTGGAGGGGCTCGCGGGGGAGGAGACCGATTTATAGACTTAGAGCCAGCTCAGGAGGCAGCTGCACTGCCAGATAGAGATCTGTGACTGGCAGATCCAGATTGACCAGCCTTCCCGATTCCTGTTCCAGGCCAAAGGTCACTCAGCCATTTGAATCGTCCTTTTTTTTTTTTTCTTCCGCTCCAGCTTTGTTTACCTTATAAGGAATGTCAACATTACAAAGTCGAAAGTGCCTGTTATCTTCCCCACGATTTCAACAAATAGTTAGTTCCGTGAACCAGAAGGGTCCGGTCGGTGTGAAAGATGGCTGGGCATTCAATCTTGCTGGCTGCTGTCTCGGTCCTGTCTGCCTGTCAACAAAGTAGGTCTTGGGCAGTGTGTGTGTGTGTGTGTGTGTGTGTGCGTGTGTGTGTGTGTGGCAGAGAGAGGGAGGTCTGGCTTTTGAGTTTCCTACTTACTTGCTGGTGCCCATAAGTGCATGGGTGCACAGTCCACTCTGGGTCATCAGCTCCTCCTTCCCTGGGGACAGATTTGGAACATTCCAAGGATTCGTTCTCCCCAGAGAGACGTTGTAGGCTTCCTGAGCCCAGCGATTCTGCATTGTTTGTGGTTCAGACCCACAGCCCAGTTCAAATGAGAACTGGGACTGGAAGTGCACTAGCTAACCTGGGAGATGTGGGCTGTAAATCTTAACTGTGGAATGTGCCAAAGGAAACACTGTATCTGCTTGTAAACCAGGGCTGCCATTTCTTGAACACTGATCTTTTAATTAATGTTTTCTTAAATAAGCTGCCGATGGCAGGTATGATTATCAGGCTTTAAAAAATCTGCAGAAACATGAGCTTCAGGTTAAGTGACGAATCTGTTTCAAAGCACCATCCCACTAGGATTATTCAATATCTCAATTGCTGGGTATGTAAAGCACATTTGCTCCTCAGGGGTCACATTTGCTCAATTCTTATCATCTTATCCATGATCACCAACTTAACATGCTAAGTGGGGAAAAGAGTCTGGGCGCTGGTGAGCAAGTCTTGGAGCCAACCACGCATATTTCTTTATTTTTCCAAGTGCGCTCCTACCAGGAAAGTGGGCAGAGGCGCAGACTGCTCAGGGTGCACAGAAAGCTCAGCTTTGGGTAAAGTCCAGACCCGCATGTCACTCCATGTCTTGCCTAACCGGTCTGTTTTAGGAGTTTATGAAACTGTTATACCATAAGACACACATTTTGTGGTTGGATTCACAGTCTCTTCTGGAGTAGTGGAGAAGAGCAGGATTTTTATCACCATCTAAAGCAGCACTTAGGTCTCAAATGCCCCTGTGCTGACCCCATGGTTCACATACCCCTATACGTGAGCACTGCCAACCCCATGTGTGCCCTCCTTCTGGCGCTGTGGGGAGCCCGGGAGCGGGCCCACAGATGCCCCAGACTGACAGAAAGGTTTCTGTTTGCTGGTGGGTGCAGGGCATTGTGGGAATTGTAGCCAGAGGTTAGGTGGGGGGTAGGGGTGGAGCGGAGAGGAACTGGGATGGTGGTGGCTGGTGGTGTTAGAAAACAGAATTGAACTGAGTAAAACGTAGAGATCTTATTAGTTTATGGGTGCCTGCGTGGCTCAGTCAGTTAAGCGTCCAGCTCAGGTCATGATCTTGCAGTTTGTGAGTTCGAGCCCCACGTCCGGCTCTGTGCTGACAGCTCAGAGCCTGGAGCCTGCTCCCAGTTCTGTGTCTCCCTCTTTCTTTGCCCCTCCCTCATTTGCACTCTCTCTCTCAATAATCAATAAACATTAAAAAAATTTTTTTTAAGGATCTTGTTGGCTTTATTCAATGAGTCCTGAATCAGGCAGCATCCCATCTAGCAGGTAGAAGGGCTCTCTGAAGAGCTGTATGAAATAAAAGACTTTTATAGGCAGAAGGGGGCAGAACAGAAAGTTGCTAGTTTGTGGTAATTTGTGGCAAAGGTCATCTTTCAGGGAATGGCAGGAGTCTGTCAGGCAGATTCCCTCTGTAGTGCTAACCACGTCATTCTGGATTGACTGGCTTAAGATACCACTTTTGGGAGAGGTTGCAACTGTAATTAAGTGAGGTGTTATGTCTCAGGTTGGTTTATGTCAGCTTAGCATAGATGACTCCATATTTTCGGCCTGTTGTCTCTTTTTTTTAACAGTGGCAGATAGGGAACATTTACTGATTGGGTGGGGGAAAGAGAAAGAGGGAAAGAAAGAGAGAGAAGACATAACTGTTCGGTTGGCATTAAGAATCAGAATTTGCTGTTTCTATGGAAGACTGATGTTTATGGAGAGGGGGCACCACATACCATGGTGGAAGCAGGTTGAGTTTTGAAGATAGACAATCCCATATCTGTCCGGTTCAGTCACTTACCAGCTGGGTGCGGCTAGCCAGGATATTCTGTCCTTCAGTGTCCTCATCAAAGAGGGCTAAGCAGGGGAGCCTGGGTGGTTCAGTTCGTTGAGTGTCCAACTTTGGCTCAGGTCATGGTCTTGCAGTTTGTGGGTTCGAGCCCCATGTTGGGCTTTGCACTGACAGCACGGTGGCCGTTTGGGATTCTGTGTCTCCTCTCTCTGCCCCTCCCCTGATAGCTCTCCCTCTTTCTCTCTCTCTCTCAAAATAAATAAATAAATAAATAAACATTAAAAAAATGAAGGTCAAACAGGACACTGGGTGAGAAGGCCCGCCAGCATCCTTGGCCTGGGGTTGGCACTCAGCACAATCAGTCCCCATCGTCACTGCTTTCCCACAGAGAGAGCTTCTGCCCGGCTGAGAGGCAGCCACACTATGGCAGGGAAGGCCGGCTGGGGCTGGGGGCTGGGGCGGGGGCTGGGTAGGAGGCATTGTGGGACAGGAGGGGTTCTCGATTCACTCTCCCTGGCACACATGTGCCCCTCTGGAGAAAGTGAGGGAGACAAGAGAGACAGGCAAAGCAAAAGGAGAGTATTCTCAAGAATTTTTCTTAACATTTATTAATTTTTGAGAGATAGAGATAGAGACAGAGCATGAGCAGGGGAGGGTCAGAGAGAGAGGAAGACACAGAATCTGAAGGAGGCACCAGGCTCTGAGCCTGACATGGGGCGTGAAGTCATGAACCACGAGATCATGACTTGAGCCAAAGTCAGATGCTTGACTGGCTGAGCCACCCAGGAGCCCCTCAGTTAGTTTTCACGTGATGTTAGGAGGGGAAAGAAAATGGAAAAGTAGCTCCATTTTTTTCTCCAGAAAAGGTAAAATAGTTTGCCCACCCACATCATGTTATCCCTGTGGTAGCCATGGTCTCTCTACGGCCCCTGACCTGAAAGAACAGAGAGGGGCTTCTCCTTGGGGCTGTGCTGGCCCAACTGAACCCTTCTTCCCGGAGCTGCAGGCAGGCTGGGTGGGGAGCATCCAAACAGCTCTGCCCTTGACTGAAGTTCTTTACCCACATTTACTGCCGTTGTAACGGCAGGTGCAACCAGGTGCTATGAAGGGCCGTGAGGAGACAGCACTTTCAAAGCTTTCGTGTACTCACAGCTTCACTTCGAAGCTCTCGGTTCTTGCACCATCACCAATGTGTAAATCAAGGAGCACACATCTTTCATGGTTCCCCTTACCAGGGGGAGCAAGAAGCCTTCCTGAGTGTTTCCTCCAAGGCTGTGGAGCAACTTAGAAACAATGGGGGCAGCGGGGTGCAGATCGGCCTGAGCCTGTAGACTTCCCCCGCCGCAGACAGACCTCCTTTCTGGCTGCAGGTGGGCCCAGGAGTGATTGGCCCCTCTGGATTTATGCTGCCGTGAGAGGATGTAGCCTGGGGTTGGAAACAGTGCCCAATCCCACATTTTCTGTATCTTCCCTGTGCTCTCTCTGCCTTCAGGGATGTCACTGCAGTTTGAATGAGAGACTCTAGTCCTAAGCATTTACACCCTTCGGACGTTCGGCTCCAGCTTTTAGATCCTGAGCAACAGTTTGTTTGTAGCAGAGGGGAATTCAGGGGGAGGGAAGAGGCCTGCTCTGTGAGGCCTTACTAACCCAGGCTCACTATTTACTGACTCGTCAGAGGGGAGATCGTATATTATATCTCCGCAGGAAATTTGTCACACCTGATCCTGTCACACAGGCTAAAAACTTGGTGTGGAAAGGAAACTAGTAAGGAAACATTAGCAAGTAGGAAATGGACATGGAGGTGTTAAAGTAAGTGAGACCAGAATGGTGTTGGAGGGAACTGTGAAGGAATTGAAACGGGAGGAAATAATCTGAAGGGAACTAATAGACCCCAGAACTAATTATGGTGTAGAAAGGGGCAACAAGGACAGAAGGTGAGAATAACTGACCAAGGAGGAAGTGTGGGTCTGACAGTGAATGAGGTTTACAGGACCGACCGTCAGATGTAAGTGACTCTGGCACCAGGGTTGGATGATCTAATGTAACACTTGTGGTTAATGAAGGCAACAAAGTCATAATCATTTTGTAGTAGGGAAACTGAGTCAGATAGGGAGCTATCATCCCTCAAGGTTTTCCTGTGACCCTCCCTCCTGGCTTTCATCATGTCCGGGGAGTTGCTGATCTGTTTTAGGTCACTGTGGCTTCATTTGCATTTCTGAGAATTTTATATAAATGAAACTATACTCTCTTATAGTTATATATATAATACGGTTATACTAGATTCTCTTCTGATCTTGCTGCTTTCATTCAGCATAATTAGTTCGAGGTTCATCTGTGTTCTTTCATGTATCAATAGTTCATTCCTTTTTTTTTTTCTTTTAAAGTTTATTCATTCATTTTGAGAGAGACAGAGACAGAGTGAGTAGGTGAGCAGGGAAGGGGCAGAGAGAGGGAGAACCCCAAGCAGGCTCCACACTGTCAGCCCAGAGCCTAACGTGGGGCTCAAACTCACGAGCTGTGTGTGAGATCATGACCTGAGCTGAAACCAAGAGTTGGACACTCAACCAACTGAACCACCCAGGCACCCCAAGAGTTCATTCCTTTTTACTGTCTATTGTATTCTATTGTATAGATATGCCACATATACCATAATTTGTTCATCCATCAACTTGTTGATCAAGACTGTGTTAGTCAGGGTTCTCAAGAGAAGCAGAACCAATATAGCAGATGCGCACACACACACACGCGCGTGCGCGAGCGCGCACACACACACACACACACACACTCACATTGAGGGATTTATCAAAAAAAATTTGGTTTATGCAATTGTGGGGGCTGGAAGCTCTGAAATTTGCAGGGTGGGCTGGAAGGCTGGAAATTCCAGCAAGAGTTGATGTTGGAGTATCGGATCTTAAGGCAATGTGGAAGCAGAATTCTTTTTCTCTCTTGCTGATGCATAGGAGCACATGTACCCCAATGTTCATAGCAGCACTCTCAACAATAGCTAAAACATGGAAAGAGCCTAAGTGTCCATCAACGGACGAATGGATCAAGAAGATGTGGTTTATCTATACCATGGAATACTACATGGCAATGAGAAACAATGAAATCTGGCCATGTGTAGCTACATGGATGGACCTTGAGGGTGTTATGCTGAGCGAAATAAGTCAGGCAGAGAAGGACGAATATCATATGTTTGCACGTATAGGAGGATTAGGAGGAACTTAACGGAGGACCATGGGGGAGAAGAAGGGGGGAAATGGTGGGGGAAAGAGAGAGAGGCAAACCATGAGAGACTCTTGAATGCTGAGAAACAAACTGAGGACTGATGGGTGTCGGGGGGGAAGGGGGAGATGGGCATGGAGGAGGGCACTTGTGGGGATGAGCACTGGGTGTTATATGGAAACCAATTTGACAATAAACTATTTGTAAAAAATAAAATAAAATAAAATGTTACTATTACTGAAGTTCTCTAAAAAAAAAAAAAAGAATTCTTTTTCTCTTTGGGTAATGTCCATCTGTTCTCTTCAGGCCTTCGACTGTTCAGATGAGGCCCACCATCTCAAGGAGAGTAATCTGCTTTACTCAGAGTCAACTGATGTAAATGTTAATCACATCCAAAAAATATCTTCACAGAAGCATCTAGACTGGTGTTTGACCAAACAGCTGGGCGCCATGGCCTAGCCTACTTGACACAAAATTAATCATCACAGAGTTGTTCCTAATTTTTGGCTATTATGAATAAAGCTGCTATGAACATTTGTGTACAAGTCTTTGTATGGACTTATGGTTTAACTTTTCGTGGGGAAATAACTAGGAGTAGAGTGACTGGCTACGCGATCTATGTATGTCTAACTAAAAGGTCCCTTCCAAATGATTTTCCAAAGTGATTATACCATTTTACATTCCTGCCAGAGTCTTTGAGAATTCTAGTTGTTTTATAGCCTCACCTGTCTTTTTTAATTGATATGGCCTGTCTTTTGAATTTTAAACATCTTAATAGGTATGCAGTGGTATCTAATTGTGGTTTAAATTTGTAATGAATTTTTGTAATGAAAAATTGTTTTTGTAATGAATAGTGATGTGCCACATTTTAATCATTTTGATCATTTTAATTCCTCTGTACTTGCAGGTTATTTTGCTTTGCATGTAGGAAAGGCAAGATTAAAATACAAAGTTACACCCCCAGCAGTCTCTGGGTCACCAGAGTTTGAGAGAATATTTCGTGCACAGTAAGTAATGCTTCCCTCTCCCTTCAGGGATTTGGGATGGCCACGTATAGACGATTCTGATCGGGGGAAAGATGTGCAAAGGAGGTATTTCATTATAACAAACCAGGGTTCACAGACATGCCCCTTCTCATGATGCTTGAAGCTTGAAGTATCTAGTAGATGGAGTCTCTACCCACCTAGATTATGAATTCAGAGGATGCATTTACAGAAAAGGCTGGGATCTTAAGAAAGACTGCTCCATATCGCTAAGCATAGCAGTTTGGTTAAAGAGCCCCTCCAGTGCCCTTAGAATTCAATAACCTCAAGCGAGATTAGCTATGACATCAATCTTCTATCTTTATTTTTCCTTTCCACTTGAAACAGAGGTGGGTCATTACCATCCTCTGCCCATGAACCATTTCCTGAAATCCAAAATGTAGAAGAATGAGAAAGCTTCCCATTTTATACATATTTGTAGTGACTTTGATCATCTTGTCTTTTCAGATCCATACAGAATGTCCTACTATAAACACCATGAGTTTAGCTGCTGCAGATGCTAGGGCTCCCTTTTTATTTCATCCCCCAAATAAGTGCTTTTAGAAACATTGTACATGTCACCATTTATATGTCATTTGGTTCTTTTGTTAACACTGTGGGATTTTTCATCTATATCATGAGTGACGTGGGCCTATAATTTTCCTTTCTTATATGATGTTTGTCTCCTTTTGATATCAAGATTATACTAATCTCATGCAATGAGTTAGAGAATTATTTTCTCAGAGAATTTTAATAAGGTTGGAAGAGTGTGTTCCTTCCAAGTTGTTAAAATTTGCCTATAAAATGATGTGAACCTGATGTTTTCCTTGTGGAACAATTTTAAACTATGGGATTTGATTTCTTTAATGATAATTGAGTTATTCAGCTTTTTATTACATCTTGAATCACTCTGGGCAAGTCATGATCCTTGAGCTGACAGCATTGTTCTCTTGTCCATCTCTTTGCTTCAACAAGGGTTGTGCAGACTATTCCCTAGGCTTGAGCATGTGGGATGAATACCACTGTTAGTAGAAGAGATAGTTTTAAGAAGTGCATAGACATGATTTTTTCAACAAAAATTTATTGTGGTAAGAATATGTAACATGAGATATATACCCTCTTAAAAAATTTAAATGTATAAAACATTACTATTACTAGAGGTACAGGGTTATACAGCACATCTCCAGAGCTTGATCTCTTACTTGACTAAAACTTTATGATTTTCAGTTACAGTGATCAACACAATGAGAAAGTCATTTCCATTTCAATTGTCTTTGAATCTTTACAATTATGTCAAGTGGGAAGTATTGGTTTGGTGCCAGGATGTCCCAACTCCAATATTTATTTTTATCAGAGTAATGCATGTATGTGGTCTGAAAGTCAAGTGAGATTACAAACCTGGAAGCAACAGATAACTTTCCTTACTGCCAGTCCATAAACACTGGCACCCTTGTGACTACTACTTTTGGTATTTACTTCCATATTTCTAAATATTATGCTTTCGCTGCTATTTATTGATTCATAATTTTTAGACATTATCAATCAGCTTCCTTTTATGGAAGAACGAATTTCATGTTTCTCTACTTCCTCTTTTCCTTACCTCTGCCCTTCAGTACATCACTTTGTTAAGTTAAACCAATAGCCAATGTTTATATTATTGTAATTATAAGTAATGTTCAAAGCTGAGTCCAATAATATACTATGATTTCCTCTCCTTCTTGTGAATTTTGTTTTACCTGGGATTAATAATTGCTTCATGTTTATTTTTTTGCTTAGTTTCATCCTCAAATCTTTAACAGAACTGAAAGTCTCCTCTTGATACACTCAAATACGTTAATCTAGTAGTGCCATCTGTTTTTTTCTTGGATCACCACCTCTATTTGAGTCTTCCTCCTTTTTTTTTTTTTTTTTTTTTGAGTCCTCCATCTTTCTGCTCCCAGCTGGAGGTTGCTCTTTACATATGCTACATGCTGTCATTGTCGGACTTTTTATCATCATCCTAGGAATGTCCCTTTTATTTTCCTGATTTGGATCGCCTGCTTCCTGGATCTTCTATTTTCCTATTTATTGGTTTTCTCTCATTTTAGTGGAATATACTCTGTGGAAGTTTCCTGAGAAAGGGTGAATAGTTGGTCAAATTTTGAGACTTTCCACTTCTAAATATGCCTTTATTCTGCCTCACAGTTGACTGATGGCTTGGTTAGGCATATCTTTCTATGTTAAAATCCTTACAATCAGAATTTTGAAAATATTCCTCTATTATTTCCTAATTTCCACTGATACTGTTGTGCTGTTCTGTGCTATTCTAATTCTTGATTTTTTTGTTTGGAAACTATGGAAGCTTTAGGATCTTCTTTTCATCCCAGTGTCCTAAGATGTTATGGTTCTATACTTGCTTGGAGGCATTTGTTTTCACTATGCTGAATCCTAAATGAGGCTTTTTCACAGCTTGAAAACTCATGTCTTTCTGTTCTGGAATTATCTAAAAATATTTTTTCCCTGATTTTCTTCTTCTTTATTTTCTCTGTTCTTTTATTCTTAAAATCTATATTAGTGGTATGTTGATCCCAAGATTGGTCATCTAGTTTTCTTTTATCTTCGGTTTTCCATCTTCTTGGACTTTTGTTCTTTCTGGGAAATTTCTTGAACTTCTGTTTACTGGTCTTTTATGTATTTTATTATGTATTTATGTATTTACTTATTTAAATCCAAGTTAGCTAACATATAATGTAATAATAATTTCAGGAATAAGATGTAGTGATTCATCACTTACATATAACACCCAGTGCTCATCCCAACAAGTGTCCTTTTAAATGCCCCTCACCCCTCTAGTCCTTCACCCCCACCCAACACCCCACCAGCAACCCTCAGTTTGTTCTCTGTATTTAAGAAACTCTTATGGTTTGTTCCCCTCTCTGTTTTTGTATTATTTTTGCTTCCCTTCCCTTATGTTCATCTGTTTTGTATCTTAAATTCCATATATGAGTGAAATCATGTGGTATTTGTCTGTCTCTGACTGACTTATTTTGCTTAGCTCTAGTTCCATCCGTGTTGTTGCAAATGGCAAGATTTCATTGTTTTTTACTGCTGAGTAATATTCCATTGTGTATATATACCACATCTTCTTTATCCATTCATCCATTGATGGGCTCTTTCCATGCTTTGGCTAGTGTTGATAGTGCTGCTATAAACATGTGCCCCTTCAAAACAGCACACCTATATCCCCTGGATGAATACCTAGTAGTGCAATTGCTGGGTCATAGGGTAGTTTTAGTTTTAAGTTTTTGAGGAACTTACATACTGTTTTCCAGAGTGGCTGCACCAGTTTGCATTCTCATCAGCAGTGCAGAAGAGATCTTCTTTCTCCTCATCCTTGCCAACATCCATTGTTGCCAGAGTTGTTAATTTTAGCCATTCTGATTGGCATGAGGTGGTATCTCATTGTGGTTTTGATTTTTATTTCCTTGATGATGAGTGATGTTGAGCATTTTTTCATGTGTCTTTTAGCCATCTGATGTATTCTTTGGAGAAGTGTTTATTTATGTCTTTTGCCCATTTCTTTACTGGATTTTTGTTTTTTTGGGTGTTGAGTTTGATAAGTTCTTTATAGGTTTTGGATACTAACCCTTTATCTGATATGTCATTTGCAAATATCTTTTCCCATTCCATTAGTTGCTTTTTAGTTTTGCTGATTGTTTCCTTTGTTGTGCAGAAGATTTTTTACCTTGATGAGATCCCAAAAGTTCATTTTTGCTTTTGTATCCTTTGCCTCTGGAGACATGTTAAATAAGAAGCTGCTGCAGCCAAGGTCAAAGACGTTGTTGCCTGTTTTGTCCTCTAGGATTTTGATGGCTTCCTATCTTACATTTAGGTCTTTCATACATTTGGGTTTATTTTTGTGTATGGTGTAAGAAAGTGGTCCAGGTTCATTCTTCTGCATGTCACTGTCAAGTTTTCCTAACACCATTTGCTGAAGAGACTGTCTTTTTTCTATTGGATATTCTTCCCTGCTTTGTCAAAGATTAGTTTCTGGGCCCATTTCTGAGTTCTCTGTTCTGTTCCATTGATCTATGTGTCTGTTTTTGTGCCAGTACTATTCTGTCTTAATGATTACAGCTTTGTAATACAGCTGAAGTCTGAAATTGTGATGCCTCCAACTTTGGTTTTGTTTTTCAAGATTGCTTTGGCTATTTGAGATCTTTTCTAGTTCCATACAAATTTTAGAATTGTTTGTTCTAGCTCTGTGAAAAATGCTGGTGGTATTTTGATAGGGATTGAATTGAATATGTAGATTGCCTTGAGTAGTATTGACATTTTAACAATATGTGTTCTTCCAATCCATGAGCATGGGATGTTTTTCTATTTTTTTGTTTCTTCTTCAATTTCTTTCATAAGCTCTCTATAGTTTTCAGTGTATAGATTATTCATCTCTTTGATTAGGTTTAATCCTACGTAGTTTATGGTTTTTGGTGCAATTGAAAATGGGATCAATTCTTTGATTTCTTTCTGTTACTTCATTATTGGTATATAGAAATGCAACCAATTTCTATACATTGATTTTATATGCTGTGACTTGCTGAATTCATGTATCCGCTCTAGCATTTTTTTGATGGAGTATTTTGTGTTGTCCATAGAGAGAGTTTCATGTTGTCTGAGAAGAGTGAAAGTTTGACTTCCTCCTTGCAGACTTGGATGCCTTTTATTTCTTTGTGTTGTCTGATTGCTTACTGATCTTTTAAAAAAGTTTCAGATATAAATTTTAATTTCTAATAATTCATTTTTATTCTTTGATCATTCTTTATTTATTGCAGCTGCTATTAAATCATCCTTTTTTGTTTTATGGATACAATTTATTCTCTTATATCAGGATTTTAATGATAATATTTTTTTAAAATTCTTTGTTTCATTTCTTTTTTTTCATTTTCTTTTTAAAAATATTTTTAAATGTTTATTTATTTTGAAAGGGAGAGACACAGCGTGAATGG